GAAAAAAGCAAACAAATGCAGAATTTCATAGTTTTGTAATGTTTTCATAGAATATTCAAAAAGTACTGCAATAAGGCATGTAAGCCAAATATCTGACACGGCTTCGTTTTGACACAGAATTTGTACGTTTGAAGCTTTTGTGGCAAATCTTATAAAAGGCTGAGAAACATATGACATGGCTACAAACAAAATCTATTTAGTCACAAAATGTCTTCATTGTGTCCAAATTTATCCTTTTTTTATTTACAAGTTGGCCACGAACTCCTCCCAAAGTTGAGTCACATGAACTAAATCTCAGACTATTTATTGATTGTTTATATGGCGCTAAATCACATCAACAGTTATGATAAATGATATATGATCTGCACTTGTATAGCACTTCTCAGAGTAAGGACTCCAAAGCACTTTACACGACAGTGTATCATTCATCCATTCACACACACACACACACACACACACACACACACACACACACACACACACACACACACACACACACAGTAGTCTCAAGGCTCCTCACAAAGTAAAACATTCCAATTGAGTTCAGTTCCTTAAGCCATTTATTTGAAAGATTCCTGTATAAGAAACCCAGCAGACTGCATCGAGTCACTGACTTGTTGTGTTGGTGACTTTATAGCAATCCCCATATTTAAAAATACACATATATCTATATTGGAACATGTTCAAAATTCCAGTGACATGACAGCAAGCCCTTCTGACCCACGCAAACCTCTCGAGGCATTTGGACTTCCAGTCCCAGCGAGCCACCGGCGTTGCTGGATTGTGTTCTGATTTTACCAAAGTCTTTAGTGCTATGAAGAAAAAAATAAGATTTGATAATTAAATGTAGATACTTGTTAAATTCATTTTCATAAAAAACTACTTTGCACATGGGAGCGTCCGGTTAGTGGGGGCCAGTGGGGGGGTTGCAGATTCCTAGGGGGGGCTGTTGCCCCCTCTGGTCCTCACTTAGCGGCACCACTGTTACTCAGACAGAGGAAAATGCAGATAAAGCTGATGGCCTGACCAGGCGCCTGTGCCCTCTGGCAGGTGAGCTGAATTTGAATTCAGATTTATTTCTCATGTGTGGAGATGCAAGTGCACAAGCATGATGAGTGCCACTCAAACGGAGGCCATGCAGGGGAAAGAAAGGTCGGTGGGACAAAATTTGTATGTGTTTCATAGAATTTTGTGAAAGCTGTGAGTTCATCTGAGACCCCCACCCACCTGCTCGTTCAGTTGGATCTCGTTTTTGAAGGTGGGGTGGCGTCCGATGGTTGTACTGGAGCTGGACAGCAAGCTCATTTTTTTCTCCTCTTTTTTTGTTCTCCCCTTCGCCAACTCCAGCTGTCACACTGAGGGACAATGGAGGAGGGGGGGTGGGGGGTGGGGGGGTGCTCGCTGAATGGAAAAAATAAACTGGAGAGCCCCCATCACACAGCTGCCCCCTCCTCCTCCTCTTCCTCCCCATGACTCGTCATCTGCATTTGACAGGACCCCCGTTCTCCTCTCTTCACCGCCCCCTTTCTTTGGCTTTCTCCTTTTCTCTCCTCTCTATAATCCCCCTTTCTCTCTCTCTCTCCCTGCTAAGTGCAGCTGTTTCTCTCCATTAAACCTTTTTTTTCTCTTTTTCAGGCTGATTGCTAATTAGGATAGCATTTTAGTGAGTTTTATCTAGAAAACTTGTTAAACTTGCAATTCTCCACCTCTTTTTTCTTTTCCTTTGAGTCTGGCAGATCTGAGGGGCGAGGGAGCAAAGAAAAAGACCAATTACGCACGATTTACATTACAGGCTGAGCTTTTTTTTTCAGAATGCACCCTAATCTCCAATGTAGCGTTCATATAGTTTACTGTACTGTGTTGCAGTCTCTTGTTCAGCCGCTCACTCCAGCTTTGAATGCGGAAAACCTTCTTTGAAGAACAGACTGCCCCGATCTCCCTTATTCTGAATCCCTGGGAGAAGGGAACAGAGGAAAGGGAGAGCCTGAGAAAACAGCAATTCACACACCGAACACAGAGACCCCTAGTAGCTCAACAAATGAGCGACTAGCCCTGCGTCCATTCATATCGCCCCCTCGGCCCGCAAGCCTATTAGCCAGGCATCGCTCCTTGAACATTCACTGTCGACAACATGTGGAGGCATCGCTATAGCAACCGGTGGATATGACATGTGCAATGGACGGGGACTCCTGAGCTGCTGAATATAAGGAGGGGCTCAGCCTTAACTAAATGATCTTAAAAAAAAGGGAGAAGCGGAGGGAAAAAAGCCCCACCACCTCCCCATCTCTTTTCATTGGCACAGTGGAGCTGAAAGGACTCACTAGTGGGGCTTCTGCACATTCTTCCAAGGCTCGGAAAATCAGGCGGGCATATCCCACATTCTTCTCTTTTTTCATGTTCTCTCCCTATTTTTTTTCTTCATCTACGCGTTGAAGCCGCTCTCTGTTTTTCTTTTCTTTTTTGGCTCTGGGGAGGGGGGGGGGGGGGGGGGGGCATGGGACCCTCGCAGGGGAACTTTAGGTGACTGAGAGAGTGGGCGGCCAGGACGCACAGGCGCGTCGTGGAGCTGCGGCGCGCCTCAGTCGGTTTAGTGGCTGTCCGCGCTCTGGAATACAAGACACGGCTTCTCTCCTCCGGCTTCCCGCTCCGAAATGAGCGCTCTGCACATGGATTGGGGTAATTATCTACCTGACCTAGATTTTTTCTTGCGTAAAAGGCAAATTAGATCAGGATAAAGATAAAAGAGAAAGAGTGTTTTATTTATAGGGTGTATTCATTTTCTTTCCTGCGTAAAAGTTTGGATCAATAAAATGTGATGGAGCATCAGAAAATAAATCTGAGGTGTGTGAGCACATCTGGAGGCAAAGTTTCTGCATCTTCCCCACAGCTCAGCATCTCCAACTCCCGAAGCAAGAAAGCAGTTTGCAAATTAGAGAAAATATTTTTTCAAAAATGAAAAAAAAATTTAAATACCGTATTTTCATTTCAGGTCTTTAGTGCAATTTCCTCATTAGAAATGATATTTAATGCTGCCATTCTCCAAGGTTCGTGTGCTTTGCTTTAATTCAAATTAAAAATAATCATTTGCCTATAATAGGCCTAGATTCGTCCGCCATTTTTGTAGGCCTATTTGGGGAAAATTTGGTCTTAATTCTGATTTAATATTTAAAAAATCAGCTTTAAATGTAACAGATTTGTTTAGAATCTGAACTGATTTCACATTGAGGCTTTTGCAGTTTGGGTATTCCCTTTTTTAAATGGTTTTGTGAGTAGGCAGCACCTCTCTAACCTTATTTTTATTTGAATAAGAGGACCGGCTTCCATCTGCCCCTAGTTTCCCCTCAGATTCACCACAGGGGCAATTTCAATAGAGGGCAGAAGAAAGGGGAACGTCTTTGTTTTTTTAGGATGGGAACCATTTTAGGGACTTTATCTTATAATTAAATCAGAATTTCAATTTTTATTTATTTATCTTTTTACATTTTAGGCTCTGTATGAATTATCAGCTTATTATAAACATAGATAAAAAATAGAAAACACATAAAGAAATTAATTCAGATGTTTTTAATTGTAATGATTTGATATTCAGTTATGATTTGTGAATAATTAGCAAAATCTGAAGAGTTGTTATTTATTAAATTAGATACAAAATATAATAATTTAATGAACTTTGTAATAATTAAAAAAAAAATGTTTTCTAATTGCCTGACATCTCCTCTGGTTTCCTATCAACTCATTTTGCCCAAAATCAAAGGTTTTTTTTTATGTTTGCAGTGAATTCAAGGCTGTTCCCTCCAACAGTGGGAACATTTTTTGTTCATTTCAAGGTGAACTTTATCCTCGAGTAGCGACAGACAATGTGCTGCTGATTCATTTAGATTAGAAACTCATCTTGATCATCCACTAATGTTGAATTTTACACCATAAATTAAGTATTTCAAGCTTTTCGGGTTATTATTTCCTGAATCTGCTAAATTGATGCGAACTCCAGCCAATTTGTAAAGATTGCTGCCTTTTTCCTCTGAAAACTGAACAGAGGCTGTATGGCGATGAGTCTCTGGATGGAGGCCACTTCCCTCCTTTCTCTGCATTCAGGCCTCTTCATCCTCTCCTTGTGTTTCCTATAACCCCTTAATCCTTGATTGGAACTACACTCTGGAACCACTGCAATCAAAAAGCAGCTGTCTTCACATCCACGCTCAAACCTCTGGTAATTGCCAGCCCACAAGGTTGGACCAGTCTGAGAAGGAGTGTTGTTTGGGGGCACGATAACAAGGTGTAGCCATCCTTTGGCGGGTCCTTTAGTGCCTGTTTGGGCTAAAAGTCAGTTCTTCCTTTCCTTTTAATATAACGTCTAGATTTTATTCATCCCTCCAACATCTGCTGATGTCATTGAAAAACGTCCGGAAACATCGTGATTTCACATCAGGAATGGGACTTTCCGATGTTTTGAGACCATCAGAGCAGAAACGACTTACCTGTAGCCATTTTTAGATCTTTACTTAATCTGCCAGTTTAAAGCTACTAATCGTCGGCGAGGCCTGGAGGAGTCTTATCATCACTAAATGTCCACCAGTGGGATAAATGATCAAAAACGCTACTTTTTCCACCTGAAACCTCTTCTGATTGTTTTATAGGTCTTATACAAGTATTAATAAGCCCTCCTGATTGCATTAGCATGCACTATGGCTGTTTTTGTGAAGTAATTCAGCTGTTGGATGCATAAAGGTCCCTTCTGAGCTACCTGTGCCCCCTCTCCCCAACTCTGGCCAAAGCTTCCTATTCTAGCCAACTCAGAGCCAGAGGAGCTAATTAAGCACAAGCTTTCCGTTTCCCAGCATCCTCTAGCTGCAGGATGCCAACCTGCATCGTGCCAGCTCTAAACGGGGTTGTAAATATCCAGAGTGGGGCCCAGACAGGACTCACTCAGTTTGAGTTATGTTTTTGTTTCTTTACACCAACAAGTCAGAACTGATTTCATCTCTGTGTCCTCCTTCCAGAGGGGCAGCTTGACCCAGATCCCTGTGGTGAAGGAGACCCGAGTGGAGTCGGGCCAGTTCCTGCTGCTCTCCATCCTCTGCATGCTCTTCATCCTGGTGGCGCTGGCCGTGTCCGCCACCTTCTTCTGCGTCCGCCAGCGCTCACACCTCCACATGAAGGAGAAGCTGGCCAGCCTGGGGACTGACACCAGCACCGATGCCACCGCAGCCTATCAGGTTAGACCAGCCCCCGTGCTGGGAGCCAATCAGGGGCCAGGACACTCACCCCAAGCTCTATCATTGGTGGAACTCATGGTGGAGTACAGTGAATTGAGCTTAATGAGAGCGTCTTATCTTTAGTTTAATCTGATGAAAACAATTTCATTTCAATTATTTTTTTATTTGCATCTTCATGGTGTATGTGTGTGTGTGTGTGTGTGTGTGTGTGCGTGCGTGCGTGCGTGCGTGCGTGCGTGCGTGTGTGTGTGTGTGCGTGCGTGCGTGCGTGCGTGCGTGCGTGCGTGCGTGCGTGTGTGTGTGTGTGAGATCGGAAGCCTGTCATCGCCATGGCCTATTCCCTCCCTTGTTCCGGGGCAGCGGGCAGCCTGCACCGTATTGATTTTCAGGGTTGGGGCTCAGCTGTGCCCAGCGTGCCACTCTGAACACATTCATCTGCATGTCGCGTTAACATTTTCAATATTTAATCAGGTTTCCGCGGAGCAGCTCTGAGAAGCCAGGAAGTGTTAGAGATGAGATCTGATAGAAAAATAGGAAAGAATTTATAGAAACCAAAAAACTCCTTTTTTAGTAGAATACGCTAATTGGAGAGTATTTCTTGAAATTGGCTCAGATTTTGTTTCCTTTCTTTCTCCTAATCGGTGTGAAAGATTGGGGCAACAATGATCCTGTAATCCTAAGACCTGAGCTCCTGTTCGTCTCCCTCCTGGCACTAACTAACTGCTTCCTCCTGCTTTCTTCTGGGAAGCATCTTCAGCTCCAGTGCAGAGAGGGCGGATGAGTTATGAGGTGGACCTGGATCGTGCCCCAAGGCCAGGGCCCTGGGCACCGCTTGATGGTTGTAATCATTAAAGTCTGGCGGTGGAAAAGCTGATCCAAGACCAGAGCTTAGATAGGGACAGGAGGGAGGGGGTTCCTGTGCTCCAAAGGGAAATATCACTGTGATTCATCACCAGATAGCTTGGGCACCTTCCCCACTCTGTCCTGTCCTCGCTGTTATTAATTGAGTGTGAAAATTAATTTTGTCGAGAGAACCAAAAAAGTCAAACACAGTGGGGGGTACGGATTAGGAATTTCAAATGCAAAAATACAAAAAAAGGGAGAGAAGCAGAAGATATGGTGGGGATTGGACTTTCTCCTACAGTTGGGTTGCGAATGATGGGAGGAAAGATGAGTCATAGGCAGGGGGGAAATATAAAAACTTACAGTTTTTGTTTATCAAATAATAAATGAAGAATAAATAAACAAATTTTTAGTTTTGGGGAATTTTCTTATTTTTTTCCTAAAAGATGGAGGATCTGCTTATTCTTTAGGTGGCTCCTCCACCCGTGTATTTTAAAATCATTAGTTTAAGCTGCATAATCCACCAGGATAAGCCATTAATCTACAAACGAAGGAGCAGAGGTGCTGGATTTTACGAGTCGCATTTAGCAGAGGATGTTGTTATGCGAAAGGTCACAGAGTCACAAACGTGTTCTGTGACTCCTAGGAGTTGTGTCGTCAGCGCATGGCCATCAGAACGTCGGAGCGCGTCGAGCGACCTGAGACCCTGCGTCACTCCCGCCTGAACAGCGTGTCGTCCCAGTTCAGCGATGGCCCCGCCGCCAGCCCGTCGGCGCGCAGCAGCACCTCCTCCTGGTGCGAGGAGCCCGTCCCATCCAACATGGACATCTCCACTGGTCACATGATACTGGTAAGGCCTTATATGGATGGAATGGAGGAAGATGCACTGTAAAAAAGGAAATGTTGAATTAACTTATGTCAGCTGGTTCCACTAAACGTAACTGCTTAAATGGAAAGAGTAACACAGATTAGGGCTTGATGTGTGGTGCAATAAAGAAAAAATAAAACCATTTTTGTTATAGCTTATCGGGTTGCTTCGTGCTGATGTCATTACTTACTTTCAACCAATCGGAAAGGGTTTGGAGGAATTTTGAATTTATTGTTATTAAATGGTTGATTAAACATTTTAAAAGAGTTTGTTGCAGAAATGATTGTAAAATTGCTCTTTTTTACTTGTTTTTCTTTTCTTTCAATATTAATAAAATATATTATTCAAAAGGTGTAATAGGAAGGAAGCTTAATTAAGTTGACGTTTTTACACAGTTAATGTTTAGTTGTTGTGCAGAAAAGATTGAAGTTGCCTTTGATGATGATCTGCTAGTAATTTTACATCATAAATACATTTTTCTTCCTATTTCTATAAATAAGCCTGTTATGTGTCTGGTTACATCTTTTTTTCAGCCCTCTCTCACTCCATTCCCATAAGAGCCCTGCTATCTTTTGTTCTTTCATCACTCTTCCTGTTGTTTTCCCTCCTCAGCCGTTCATTCCCTCCTTTCCTCTGTTTTCACCAAATCCTCCTGCTTCTTTTCATCCCATCATCTTTCTCTGCATTGTCTAACGTGACATCATCATCACCTTATAGGTTTTAAAGATCTTTAAACCATTAACAAAACTGGAGAGTTTTGCACAAACTCACAATGGATTTATTTCTTAATTTTGCCCAATTTTCATAAAAAATATATATATATATATTAAAAAAAACAAAGCAAGAGAGAAAAAGCTTGCTAACAGAGATGGATAGATGCCTGGCAGTGTTTTCATTAATGCACAGAGCATTCATCACACTGCAGCATGTCTGGCTTTTATACTGGGAGGCTGTAATGAATGAGAGTGAATCTGAGTAATGCCTCGTATTGGTGGTAATAGATGGGTTTTGTTGCACTTGTCAAGGCTTGTTTGCGAAGCCTCTTTTGAAAAGACTGACAATAGAAAAGCATTTAGCTGTGCAAATAACAAAGAGCCACAGTGAATCATCTCTAGGAGCTGTTTTTATTATTAGCCGTCATTTCTTCATGGCGGCATTAGAATTTAGAAAGGTAAGGCGTTCTGGGACCTTTGTGATTGACATGGAGACGTCCCATAAGGGCTCTTCTTTTGAAATTCTGCCACCATCTCACGTGAAACCATGTGTGAGATTGCCTTGTTATCACTGATCTCAGACCTATATTTCTTTATCCCTGCTCTCCTGCTCTTTGGAGCTCGTTTTATGAATACCGAGCTCTCCAAAGCACCCTTATCAAAGCCTGATCACCTGATTCTCACTCACGCTTTATGAGATTTTGTTGGAATGGTATGTCCCACTGTGCCAGCCACCTAAAGACTTAAGTAGTCTTGCATAATGAAGTTCAGATCTGGAACTGGAGGCCTCTATGTGCTGAGTCATCTGCTGTGTGTGTTTTCAAAGCTTCCACACGTCTCTGGTGTCTCACATCCTCCTTCTTTTGCCTGTTTCAACCTCTTTGTGGTGCTAAAACCTGCACTTTTTATCCACAGGGTGGTTAAAAATATTGGAAAATTACTAGCAGATGCAACAGGAAAGCAGAGTGTGGTCTCATTTCTGCAAAAAGTGATTTCAGCACCATGGACAGCACCACACTGTTTCCTCGTTAAGAATAAGCTACGTCACCTTGGCTTCATTAACTCTCTTTAGGAAAAAAGCAGCAACAATGCTTGAGCTTCTTAATTCTCAGGGTTTTCTTATAAATTATTTTAAATAATAAAATTGTTTAAGATTGAAAAAAAATTCTTACCACAACATGACTTTTTCTTGCAGTTTTTTTTTTGCACAGTTTCTGAGCTCCATCATTTAGGGCGATACAATGTGCTTCTCTCGTTTAGCCATTATTTGTCACACAATTGCATATTATTACTCCTTTTTCTCCACGTCTCACAGCTGCTTATCATATCATAAAGCTCTCCGCCTAAACTGCTAGCAGCATTTTAATTTGACAGCAGCGTGTTACCTGTTGTGTCTGCTTCCCCTGGCCGTGCCTTCATCCTGATTTCACCCAGCTCCCCTTCTGCTGCTGAGGAGGCTGCTTAGGAAGGATTAGACATTGTTTCCCTGACACACAAGCCTCCCATCCCAGCCCTCTGATTGGCAGACATAATCCCCCCATTCACCAAGCCTTCGTTACCCCTGTCTCTGGAATACGCCACGGTCCACTGCCTCCCTCTAGAAAACGGGAGGTGCTCGATAAGGGCCCCGCTGGCTGCATTGCATTAAGCGCTCGAAAAATATGAATTTGGAAATGCAATTGATTCAGCGGGGTGGGCATCGCTTTGAATAGAACGGGATGCAATTCTGAGCGGATGTATCGAGTACATGGAGATGTAACGTTGGTAGGGGAGGTGGGATGCTGTCAGGCTGGCGTGCAGAGAGTACTTGTGTGAGGTGATGAGAGGCATGGCGGTGACAGGCTCTGTCAAGTGGCCATAATGCCGTGCTGTCATGTTGCCGGGAAGACAGCACTGTGTGTTTGTGTGGATGATATACAACTTTACACATGCTGCTCGCTATTAGAGCTGATGTTTATGTCTAATAATGAGGTTTTTGGAGTGCAATAATACTAAATCTGTGGGAGAAGATTAATGCCAAAAAGATCAACCAAAAATTACATTCTGACATGAAATAGATCTGAATGAAGCAACCAAAAAGAACATTTCAGAGGCAAGAACAGTTGCTCTAAAACCAAAATGATCAATTTTGTAAGTACTTTTTTAAAATTTCAAAACAAAATATATCTTTTTACTTAACAATTTAAATTTTGGGACTTTATTTCTAAGACTACTTATGATTTTATTCTGAAGGGCAATTTTTGGTTCTTTGGACATCTCTCGGCTTCTGCAAGAATGTCTCAGTCAAAGTTTGCATCGTTTTCTCAAGCCATTTTTTCCAAACCCTCATAACCAATGAGACTGACCCACTCATAAGCCCCTCCCACTGAGATTTTAAAAAAAGCAAAGAGCTGTCCAAAAATTCTAAACATACCCTTCAGAATAAAAGCTTAAATAGCTTGAGCAATGCAGAATTATGTGAGAACCAAAAGGGTGTGTCAAATAAATAAAATATGGAAGACTAAATAAATTTTACACTTTAAAAAAACAATTTACTTAGAATTAGTTCCTTTTGTTTTCACAAAGATGGATTTGAAATGTACACTTTTGCAAATGAAATGTTCTTTTTGATCAGCTTATTTAGTTAGATTTTGAATGAGATTTTTTAAATTTTGGGTCGACACTTTGGGCACAACTCTTATCCCACAGTTTTCACTTTCAAGCACATTAAACCCGATAATCTCCTCATGCAGATGAGTTCACATCTTAAATTGTTTTAGTGCTCTCTGCTCTTTTGATTCTCCATCTAGCAATAAATGTTGGTTTCCAATGAAAGTAGATATTGTTAAACTATCTAATATCCTTCTGGAGAAAATCTGAGTCTTGCTCCACTGGAGGGATAATTGGCTTATACGCGCTGGACAAGGTTATTTTTGATTATCATATTAATTGTGTATACTGTGCAGAAGATTTCCCTCTCCACAGACAGGAACAAACAAATCGGAGTGTCACCTCTCCATTCAGCCTACCTATATAGTGCATTTAATACGGGATAAACCCCAGAACACATCTGGGTATCACTGTCATTGTATTAGCCAGCTGATCCCTGTCATCAGTTTATGAGTCTGTAATCTTCTGTCTCGCACAATAGCAGACTGAACCACTTCACCCCTTTCAGGAGGGGAGCCATGATACAGAAGAGGGAAGGAAACCATGTTGCCATGCTGGAAAAGATTCACCCTGCCAGCTACAGTCTCAGCTCCCTAAGATTTGCCCTGGTTTAGCAGAACATACAAACACACACACATAAGGGCCTTCACCCATCCCCCTCTTTTTTTCTTCTTCCATCTTTGTCTCTCTGGTGAATTCAATTTTGCCTTCTCCAAGCGAGGCTTAAATGCAGACAATCTTATCAGCGGCTGTGCAAGCTGTGAGGGACGTGATTGAAACACCCCTGAAGTATTTCCAATGCAGACAAACCTTTCACGAGTCTTAATTGTGTGTGTGTGTGTGTGTGTGTGTGTGTGTGTGTGTGTGTGTGTGTGTGTGTGTGTGTGTGTGTGTGTGTGTGTGTGCGTGCGTGTGTGTGTGTGTGTGCGTGCGTGCGTGCGTGCGTGCGTGCATGCGCACATCTCCACCTTGATCCACGGCAGCCTCTTCCAGTTGTTACAACCCACAGCAGCTCGGGATGATAACGCTCCATGAGTGCTGATCATAGCTTTAAAAGCTTTTTTTTCCTGCTTATTTTCATGTTAAAATATAATTCTAGAAAACATTTCATTACTAAAATCTTCTTAAGTAGGAAAATTTGGAATTACTGTAAAGATTCTGGTTGTTTGACCCAAATTTGTGCGTCCATTCCCGGCGATCTTTAGTTAGTCTGATTCCTGTTGAGTGTGAAATGGTGGCTGAGGTGCTGTCTGATTCTCCTCCAGTCATACATGGAGGACCACTTGAAGAACAAGAACCGTCTGGAGCGCGAGTGGGAGGCGCTGTGCTCCTACCAGGCAGAGCCCGGTGCCTGCAGCGTGGGCCAGGGCGAACAGAACTCCAAAAGGAACCGCTCTGACTCCGTGGTTGTTTGTAAGTCCCTTCACTTGTTCCGTAAACTATTAAAACGTTCCTTTAAACATTTGTAAGCAAACATGGCCAAATAAATACCTGAATTTTACTTTTACTGCCCTTTCCTTTCTAATTTAAACATCTTGTAGATGATGCTTGTCCCTGCTGAGTTTCTTTTCTTTCAGAGCCATAACAAAACTCCTTTTGGGTGCGGAGAGGAAGCTGCTCTGCATCTTGTTTTATATCAACAGTTGGCTTATACCACAATTCTGGCATGACAACAATATCAGAACAGCATATTTTTAAAGCATTGCTACAGACACGGATCATATTAGCATCGTTTCCACCAGTGTTTCAAATATTTTTACAAGCTGTTTGCATTAGAAACACGTCCGATACCGGCTTCTCTCTAGGTTGCCAAATACACTCTATACTTTGTTATAGCTCTAGGATCCATCATCTTCTGATCTCTAAACAACATGCATGCAGTACACTTTTTAACGTTTCAGAGTTCTTACCCATTTACCGCAGATGTGCTCATACACTGAATAGAAAAAGCTGCAAGACATTGAATCAGAAACGGATAAAACTGGCAAAACAAAATTCATTTTCTGACCAAGTGACATTTGTGCTGAAATGTTGACCTTTCGTCTAACAGCAGCAAGTATCTGCAGGCATTTAAACCGTTAATAAATAGGTGAAACCTCCAGGTCAGAAAAGTGAAGCCATCGTTAAAGGGATACTTTGAAACTTTTTCATATTTTTAAGTCATTTTCTTGAGCCAGAGGGCTAAAATGACCCAGCAAGAGAACATGAAATGTCACTCAGACCCCCATCGCCCGCAGTGGCCATAATAATGCACTTGCAACTTCAGAGTGTCAGTCCAGTCCCTGTTGGCCTTAGTAAGGTGGAACTGACACCATTGTCACTGGAGTCTGCTTCCAGCACATTTCCTGCATGTTTTAGATCATGAGCACAGCTCATTTGTTTCATTTAATGATGAATCACTCCTGTAGACACTATTGAAGGCTGAGGAGACATTTCAGCAGTTAAGCCTGATTTATACTTCATTTCCATCGGGACGCAGATACGCCATGCCATTATGCATCAACGCAAGAGCCCTCCAACATGCTCACAAAGCACAGAGAAGGAGAATGCAACCTTTTGATTGGTCAGGACACTGCTTCCTATAAATTCATCAACAGCACCACCTTTACCCCTTCAAAAAGTAAAGAGATATTTATCAGCAGACACGGAACAGATTGAAGAATGCATCACGGAAAAAGTCTGAAAATATGAACGTTTTATCATCCGTGACTGAAGGAGTACAAATATATGCAGCAAATGTTTTTTTCGTGGACGGAAAAGACGAGACACGTGGGTTTAGAGGTGCCGATCTCACAAAGAGGTGGAGGGGAATGAGGGGCAAATGGAAAAACATTGTAAACACAATAGTAAATACGCTATCGTGGACCAGATACTTGACTGTAATGGTGGCACGATACCTCAAAATCGTGCTACGCCCTCTGTTGTCTTGGCGGGGAATTGTTTTGCAACAATCCCCAGCTGATGGAAAAGTCTGAATGCAAAACGTCTCTGTCAATGCGTTTGCGTGTCTCCCTCGCGGAGCTGATGGAGAACTATAAATTAGGCTTTAGAATTAGATGTTAAAAAGACAAACACAATAAGTTTCACTTTTGGATTGACTAACAGGCACTCGAGGGTGCTAAAAGCAAGCCAAACTGCAAAGTATCCCTGTAAGCTTGTGCATTATGTTCATACAACCAGCAGGGGGCGGCATATTTGGTTGCATGTAAAACATCGGATTTTTGAACGAGTAAATTCAGTGCATCAGAATGCAACTTCAGAGTTTATTAGTCCTATTTAGAGTAAAATAAACAACAAAAAAGTGTCATTTTAAGGGCGGGGCCGACTTGTGATTGGCAGTTTGCTACAATGAGAGCGTTAATGGAATCTGGTTTAAAATATCATGGTTTCATGAAACACAATGAAGAGTTTGATTATTGTTTGTCAAAAACAACTAAAGTCCACTCTCTCATACTAAACTCTCTAAATAACGCATCACAATGTTACATTTGGTTTCACCTCGTTAATTTAGGACTTTAAGAAACAACTTTGAGCCAGAATTCACCAAAAAATCAACAAAAAGCCTTCTTAGCTTAAAAAAAGTCATTTGTTCACTTGAAACGCTCCTCAGAAAGGGTTTAGGAGTGTGTGTGTGTGTGTGTGTGTGTGTGTGTGTGTGTGTGTGTGTGTGTGTGTGTGTGTGTGTGTGTGTGTGTGTGTGTGTGTGTTTGTGAATGATGACATTTGGCTTCCTTTTGGTTTTATTGTTGTGAAAGAAGAAAAAAAGCAGTAAAATGAATTGTAAATCTTCATTGCAGACGATCACTCCAGGATCACCTTGAAAGCTGAGAATAACCACGGCAACTCGGATTACATCAACGCAAGTCCGATCGTGAGTATCTCTCATTGTGGCTCGGTTCTGATGCTTTACTGAAGGTGCAGCACCTGGTGTCCGTCAACAATTTCCTTATTGTTTGTATTTCTTTATCTAAACTTGGAACTTTGGGGATACTAATTCATTTTTTCAAGTGCAAAAATACCTCAATGTTTATTTAAAATGTATTTATTTATGTATTTATTTATGTATGTATTTATTTATTTATTTCCACCAAAACATTGTCAGTCATGATTTCCCCTGAGGCATCTGAGAAGGGATTCCATCAAAGGGGGCAGGAAGCTATGCATTTCAAATACAGTGCCAAAATTTCAGTGGAGACAGATGAGGAGAAGGAAGAGGGGGTGGGGTGTGGGGGGCAGCGGCTGTAAAAGCCCATTACTCCTCAGAAACAGAGGCCCGCAGATCACTTCTTTTGGTATACCTCCTGTTTATGCAAAGATATGTTCACTGAGGTGCAACATGTGCCATTTCTAAGGCAATATCCTTTCACTTACACTGTAAAAAATTAAATGTTGGATTTACTGAACCAAGTTTCATCAACTGGTTCAAATCAAACTAGCTGCTCACATGGAACACCTCCTTCCCACCAGAGGCATGAGAGGAGCGTTTCAGACGCTAAACAGGATCCAAAGTGCTCCACGCAGCTTTTCCTGCAAGGTTACAAAACCGTTGGATAATTGCATGTTGAATTTCAGAATTTCACATGATAACAGATGAGGAGAAAGATAGCAGCATGTGATTTATTTTTTGTTCTGTTTACCTATGAAGGTTTCACAGGAAATATTTTTGTACTAGTTAAGCTACTAGAAACCTGCAAATGACCTTTATTTTGAAAGTCAGGATGATTTACACTGCTTTCTTGGTTGATTTCCTGTCTGGACTGATTTGAGCTGCGGAGTTTGACGTGATATGGAAGTGTAGCGTGTTAAAAGTCTGGGACGCATCAAAAATGTGACGCTTCGCGGCTGGTGGAAAGGCTAATTGCTGTGAAGTACGTTTCACGACCATTTTGCAACACTTTTGCTTCTGGTGGAAAAGAGGGCTAAAGAGTAGTATACAATGTTATATTGTGATGTTAAAAGTAAATGTATATTACTCTTTAAATGTAAGCAGCTAGGCTTACTGGAACCAGCTGACATAACCTGGTTAAGTTAATTGAACATTTTCTTTTTTACAGTGTAGTTAATCACTTGTAGGCATACAAGTAATTATTCTGTGCTGAAAGTTTGATTAAAGCCTATCCAGCAGTTCATTAGATTCTTTACAGGCACAAAGATGCTGAAAGTTAAAGCTAGAGCAGATGTTTTTAAGGTGGGTGAAGCAATGGCAGATGCAGCGGCGTGAGGATGAAAGGACAGTAATTACGCCACAAACGAGACCCCCGCCTGAGCCGAGCAAAACTGTGACAATTATGTCTGTTGGTGTCGCTTCTTCCTCCTCATTAGCCTCAGGGGCAGTGGCCTTATGGGTAAATAATCCCACTCTTCTTGCTGGAAACCTGAGGTCAGGGAGGCGAGGGGATGGGGGCGGAGCTATGTGTGGTGAAAACTTGACCACAGATTACACTTAAAGCACCTTTAGGGATGATTTGGATCATTGAACCCCACATAAATGGGGTTTTAGGGTTTTTTACAAACTGGTTCTTGTATAACTTCGTATCAGACTGATTGTGATAACCTCAGCTGCTATTCACCATCCAAACGGACAAAAGCAAGCTGGAATTTGAGACGTTTCGCTGTTTCCTCTGAGCTATTTCAGAACAAGGTTTTCCTACTTGAAGCCAAAGAGCGCTTCTTTTGCAACCCCCCACCCCCACCTCACCCCCGTGTTGCAGTCTATCTTCTTCCCACAATGGAAGGAGGAGGACAGCTGAAATGCAGGACTACTCTTTCATGTTTCCACTTTAGTATTCATGCAGAGAAGCGAGCGCACAGCTACAGCACGTCTACGTCCTTGAGCCTGGCTGAAAGGACTGGCCGGCGTTCGGCATCACCCTTTCATTTCTGTGGAGGATTTTTATTTTATTTTATTCTTTGTCTAAACCCTTGTTAGGGATTTCAAGCAGGAAAGGATGAAAACTGAATGGCAGAGTCATGATTTATTGAGTAAAACAAGGAGAAAAGGATGATATTTCCCTTAGTAATGTCTGGAATAGCTAAATATTGGTGTCCTTATGTCATACGTTCATTTAAGTCCCATTTTGTTTTATTTTACTATTGGAAAAATATTCAAGAATTATGAAATACATCCAGTTTATTTATTTTATACTTGCTTTATTAAAATAAATGTTTGGGTGATTTTCTTCCTCCTGAATTGTCAACATTGAAAAAAGCTGCTTAAAATCCACAAATTTGACTTTTAAATGGATAAAACATGAACTTTTTCAACCGTATAATCCTCGACATTTTAATAATAATGTTTTTTAAGGGATTTTTTTTCCATCAATTAAAATAAAAGGAAATTGAAAACAACAAGAGATTTCCATCACTTTTTCAAAGCATTAATTCAACTTTTTCAGAATATTGTGGACAGAAAAATTGTGCCGGTGACATAAAATTCATGAAAAATCCTCCATAATTGTTTTTCTTTTGAAAATAAAGGTCAAGGTTGGGGTTTAAGAAACACAAAGCTGGGATTTTAGGGGTTATGGAAAATGTCATAAATGAGTTTTTACTTAGTAAATAAAATTAATAACATGAATTTAAAAATGCTGTTAAGAATGACCCGTGAGCTTTCATCCAGAGATGAATGTCGGAACTAATGGTGATAAATACTAAAGTAATCCACTTGTAGGCGGTCCCAAAGTGGCAGATTATCTAAAGAATTAGTCAACTACAACCCAGTTGTGTGTGTGTGTGTGTGTGTGTGTGTGTGTGTGTGTGTGTGTGTGTGTGTGTGTGTGTGTGTGTGTGCGCACGTGCGTGTGTGCGCGCGTGCGTGTGTGTGTGTGTCGATAGATAGATAGATAGATAGATAGATAGATAGATAGATAGACAGACAGACAGACAGACAGACAGACAGATAGATAGATAGATAGATAGATAGATAGATAGATAGATAGATAGATAGATAGATAGATAGATAGATAGATAGATAGATAGATAGATAGATAGATGATAGATAGATAGATAGATAGATAGATAGATAGATAGATAGATAGATAGATAGATAGATAGATAGATAGATAGATAGATAGATAGATAGATAGATAGCTATAGATAGATAGATAGATAGATAGATATATAGATAGATAGATAGATAGATAGATAGATAGATAGATAGATAGATAGATAGATAGATAGATAGATAGATAGATAGATAGATAGATAGATAGATAGATAGATAGATGATAGATAGATAGATAGATAGATAGATAGATAGATAGATAGCTATAGATAGATAGATAGATAGATAGATAGATAGATAGATAGATAGATAGATAGATAGATAGATAGATAGATAGATAGATAGATAGATAGATAGATAGATAGATAGATAGATAGATTAAATTGTTTCTGAAAATGATGAATATGTAGGATAGTTTTGGTTTGGAGGAACTGAGGAAAGGTCTACAGGGTTGATGGGCTAACGGCTAGGCCAAAAACAGCCAAGCTTCTGAACTGATGTCAGAACAAGGTTTTCCTACTTACTTTAACTTTTTATCGCTATATAAAAAACCCTATAATTGTTCTTCTTCTTCTTAAACATGCTTCAATCTTTCATGCCATAATGATTTATACTAATGTTGATTAAAGACCAATGTCAAGGAGAAACACTTTGCCGCTAATGCCACACAGATCTACATCACGCTGTTAATTAGCATTCATGAACTCACCCATCTTGGCTAGTGACAGGAAGGCTGTTGTTGGTTTAGCGTCCAGGAAACAGCAGAGAACCTATCGGCCTAGTAGAAGCTAACCGTTAGCATTAAGAAGTCCACCACACAGCAGAACTCCTTCATGCTTGTGTTATTTGTGGAGATAAAACATCTACGCTACAGAGCAAATGGAGGAAGTGGTAGAGTCGTGTTCCAGTTCAGAGGTGAGATGTTGGAGTATCATGAATATTTCTGAGTAAAACTCCAAATTCAGCTGCTTTCCTCTCCGATTAACTTCAACTTCCTGAAACACGAGCGCCAGAACTTTTTTTTTGCACAGAAAACAACTCACAAGACATTCATTCATACTAGAGACCACAGCAGATTTATCAAAAACAAGTGAACGAGAGCTCTAGAACATCAGACTTCAATTTAGCACATTTTAGTTTTTCCATCCAAGGGTCACGTCCTGAAGGAATTATAATAGAACTGCGTGAAATGTTGTGAAATTCAACAGATCAGAGCTGTTTCATGACTGCACCCAGATGAAAGCTTTATTTTTATTTTTTATTAACCAGTTTTCTGTGTTTTATTCCCAGATGGACCATGACCCGCGTAATCCCACTTACGTCGCTTCTCAGGGTCCGCTCGTTTCCACCGTGGCCGACTTCTGGCAGGTAGAACTCACCCTCTCATCTGCTACAAACCTTTCATCTTCAGCCGTTTGTGGCTGTAGCTCAGAGGAACAAAGAAATGCTGAATGTGGTGTTGCATTAAGACGGAGAAATTACATAACGTGGCACAAATTCAGTGTACAGTTGTTCTTGTTCTTGTTTTTTATTGTTTAAGGACAACAAACTACTATTTGACATGATTTATTAGTGTCACTAAGAGCAAATGGGCTACAAAATAAGGCTTAACTTCTGTAAACTAACTGTTTACATTTGTAAAAGCAGCATAACAATAAAAACATCACTTTGTAGAAATAGCCAACAGACCTCCAGCTTGTTGCTTCACACACCCCACGGGGGTCTAATATTATTTAATATAACCCTGATATTTGTTCACATTTGCATGTTTTCTCAAAGCTATTTGCACTCCCTTCCTTGTCCATAAATGTCAAAGCAATGTCCCATTAATTATTGTCTACAGGCTATTGTAAAACAAATCAGCTGGTGTGGAAGTGTGCCTCAAATGATGCATGCTCACCAAACAGCATAGCTGTATGCTAATAGAGCAGCACTGTAGTAATTAGTGGGTCCGTCACCTCCATATGGTGAAGGAGCTCCAGATAGCTGCAACCAGAGTGGAGAGGTGTAAGGCAATCTGAGCTTGGTGTCATTTTGGATTTGAAAAATAAATATGGATTTTTAACATCCAATGAGGATTTTTGTCTTAGTTGGGCAGCCATATTCGTTAGAAAAATCATTTAGAGGTAGTTATTTGCTCTTTGAGATGATTTCTTTTGAAGTTGTTTTTTGTTTGTTGGAAAAGTCTTTTAGCTAGCTGTTTGTGAAAAATCTGACGAAAATTCACAAACTAACTGCTAGCTGGAACACACATCACACTTGAATTTTATGGTTGCTGGGGCATTTCCAGACCATTCTAGCATTTGTAACAGGAAAATTGTAATACAGTTGAAACTTGAAAAATTAGAAAATCTTACAAAAGTTCATTTATTTCCATAATTCAACTTCAAGATGAAACTAATATATGAGATAGACTCATTCCATGCAAATGCCAGATATTTCAAGCCTTTATTTGTTAAAATTGTGATGATTATACAATTTATGAAAAACTCAAATTCTAAATCTCAGACAATTAATATTGTGAAAAGGTTTAATATTATAGACTCAAAGTGTCACAGTCTGATCAGCTAATTAACCCAAAACACCTACAAAGGCTTCCTGAGCCTTTAGAGGGTCTCTCAGTCGAAGTTGAATTACTGAAATGACTGAACTTTAATTTTTCAAGATTCACCTTAATTTTAGCTAAAATAACTACGTAATGCGAAAAAAACTTCGGTGTGATGGTTTACGATGGTCAGGGTTGTTTGTAACTTTAATTCAATTCAATTCAATTCAAAAATACTTTATTAATCCCAGAGGGAAATTGATTGCTGTAGTAGCTCAGAATAATAATAATAATAATAATAATAATAATAATAATAATAATAATAATCAAGTCGTCAAAGAGTTATTGTATATTACAATGGCTGTTGGCAGAAAGGATCTCCAGTAGCGGTCAGTGTTGCAGCGAAACTGAAGAAGCCTCTGACTGAAGACACTCTTCCGTTGTCGGGCAGTCTTGTGAAGAGAATGCTCAGGGTTGTCCATAATTTTCTTGATTCTCTGGAGAATCCTTCTTTGCATTATCTCCTCCAGTGGTCCCAGAGTCGTCCCCAGAACAGAACCAGCCTTTTTTATTAGGCTGTTGAGCCTTATTAGGTCCCCGCTTCTGATGCTTCTACCCAAACAGTATGATGGGGCTGAAGAGATTACACTCTCAACAACAGACTTGTAGAAGATCTGCAGCCTCTTGCTACAGACGTTGAAGGACCTAAGCGTCCTCAATAAGTGCAGTCTGCTGTGTCCCTTCTTGTAAACGGCTTCGCTGTTCTTTCTCCAGTCCAGTCTGTTGTCCAGGTGAACTCCAAGGTATTTGTATTCCTCAACCACCTCCACTTCTTCTCCCATGATGGAAACAGTATTTGACTCCGCCCAGTTTCTTCTGAAGTTTAAAATCATCTCCTTTGTTTTGTTCACATTCAAGGTCAGATGATTGTTTCCACACCATGCCACAAAGCGCTCCACCAGCTCTCTGTACTCAGCTTCCTGTCCATCTCTGATACACCCAACAACTGCAGAGTCATCTGAGTATTTCTGTAGATGACAGGTCTCTGATTTGTACTGGAAGTCTGAGGTGTACAGGGTGAAAAGGAATGGTGAGAGTACAGTCCCCTGTGGTGCTCCAATGTTACTGATCGCCTGGTTTGATGTGCAGTTCTTCAGCCTCACAAACTGTGGTCTGTTTGTCATGTAGTCTTTAATCCAGGCACTAGTTGAGCCCCCACCTGTGTCTTCTGGAGTTTCTGGCAAAGTACATCAGGCTGGATCGTGTTAAATGCACTGGAGAAATCAAAGAACGTGACCCTCACAGTGCTGCCTGCTTTGTCCAGATGACAGTGGGTTGGTTGAAGCAGCTGAATGATGGCAGCTTCAACTCCAACTCCATGGCGATAAGCAAACTGCAGAGGGTCCTGATATGTCCTAGTTTGCTTATTCAGGTGGACCAACAAGAGTCTCTCCAGGACCTTCATGATGTGGGATGGCAGGGCAACCGGTCTGTAGTCATCATTGACTGATGGGCGAGTTTTCTTTGGAACTGGAGCAAGGCAGGATGTCTTCCACAGGACTAGAACCTTCTCCTGGGCCAGGCTGAGGTTGAAGAGGTGCTGCAGAGTCCCACAGAGCTGCTCTGCACAAGCCTTAAGTACTCTGGGGCTGACACCATCTGGACCTCTAGCCTTGTTCCTGTTCAGTCTCTCCAGCTGCCTCTTCACCTGACTTCTAGAGACAGATAGGTTGGAGGGGGAGGTAAATGGGGCAGCAGCATCTCCTGACTTGGTTGAAGACAGATTTATAAAACTAGAAGAGTCCATGACTGTGTTAGAGGAAAAAAGAGCTGGCGTGTGACAGGAAAATGTTGGATCAGAGGAGGATGGGATGTCTGTTTGGCTGGGGACAGGCAAAGAGGATGCTGGGTTTGTTCCTGAACTGAACCTATTGAAGAACTTGTCCAGTTCATTGGCTGTTTCCAGGCTGCCATCTGTGCAATCCTTCCTCTGCTTGAAGCCTGTGATCTTCTTCATCCCTGACCAGACATCTCTGATATTGTCCCTCTGTAGTTTGTTCTCCAGCTTCTTCCTGTATGCCTCCTTGCTGTCGCTGATCTTGATCTTCAGTTGCTTCTCTATACTCCTCAATAATTCCCTGTCTCCCTCCTTGAAGGCTCTGTTTTCTCATTTAGCAGATTCTTCAGTTCACTGGTAATCCAGGGTTTGTTATTAGCGAAGCATCTCACTGTTCTGGTGGGTATGATATTGTCCACACAGAAGTTTATATAGTCAGTGACACATCGAGTCATGGCATTGATGTTCTCTTCATATCCTTGGCAGAGAGTCATCCAATCTGTGGTCTCAAAACTACCCTGCAGGGCTTCTTCAGCATCCTGTGACCATTTTCTCACAGTTCTTCTTGTCACAGGTTGCCTCTGAACAAGTGGTTTGTATGCTGAGCAGAGAAAAACAAGATTGTGATCTGATTGTCCCAGAGGAGGTCTTGTTTTGGACATGTATGCATTCTTTACATTTGCATGACACAAATCCAATGTCTTGTTTTCTCTGGTGGAGCAGCTGACAAACTGTTGTAATGTTGGAAGTGTAGCAGAGAGCGAGGCATGATTAAAATCACCAGATATAGCCACAAATGCATTGGGGTGCTGGGTTTGTAGCTAAGCCACAATGTAACTGATGGCATCACATGCATTTTTAGCAATGGCTGAAGGTGGAATATAAACAGTTGCCAAGACAACACTGGTGAACTCTCTTGGCAAATAATATGGGTGACAACTTACTGCCAAGAGTTCAACATCTGGGCTGCAGAGATGACATTTCACTGAAATATGACCTGGATGGCACCATCTATTGTTGACAAGCACTGCGTCTCCACCTCGTTTTCTTTTCCCGCTCCTCTTCAGATCTATGTCTGCTTGTACAATCAGGAATCCTGGCAGCGAGACGCTGGAATCCGGGATATGGTCCTGCAGCCATGTCTCAGTGAAACACATAACACTGCACTGCCGATACTCTGCCTTAGTCCTTGAAAGGGCTTGGAGTTCATCCATCTTGTTGGCCAGTGATCTCACATTGCCCATTATGATCGATAGAAGAGATGGTTTGAATTTCCTCCTTCTCTGTCTCCGTTTTGCTCCTGCTCTGCACCCACGCTTCTTGCATTTTAGCTCATTTGGGATTTGTGGCTTCTGTTGAGGTATTATTTCAGCCTTTCCAATGTTGATCAGCTGCTCCGATTGTAAACCAGCTTGTTGCCATGGTTATGCGTCATAACAAATGCTCAAAAAGTGAAAAAAGTAAAAAAATAGCAGTAAAAATCCTCTAAGCTTCACAGCACCAGAAACAGAAAAGTAAAATGTCCAAAAAAATACAGTTTTTCTTGAGAAACTAGAAGAAAAAATGTCAAAAAAGGCAAAACTTACATATAGTCAACAGAGCTACTCCAACATGCAGCCACCCAGAGCAGCGCAGTTCCGGAAATTTTTGGAAGACTTGAAGAAGACTAATCATGTAAAACTCACCTTTTGCTTCCCTTTGTGCTTCCATGTGGGTCTCTACTGCCTCTGAAAACACTGCAAAAAATGAAAAAAAAATGTCCGTCTGTTTTCTCAGTGTTTGGTTTTAGGAACTATGTGACTAAAACAAGCCGTTTCAAAAAGCCCCCATTTGTGATGTCACAAATGGGGAAATTAGCATAGAACCTCAGCTGACGTGCAAGAGAGAGCTGCTGCTGGAGGAGAGTGCCTCTACTCCATGCTCCTTCTGGATATCTGAGCTTCTCAGGCTGTAGCGGCCAGAGCAATGGAAAGGTAGGGGTGGCCAGCTCCAGCTTGTTTCCGTAAAGTGGCATAGCCCTGAAACGGCTCGTTTTGAAAGGTACTGAAAATGTCAAGAACAAAATTGATGAAATAATTTTATGTGAGTCAGATTTAGTGCAAAGAACTTCATAAACACATTTGGTATCCATCATAGAACTATTATAACTTAAAAGAAAATTCATTATTCACCCCCTTTAACTATATTGTTTTAGATTTTTAGTGATTTATTTCAAATTAGGCACAAAATCGAAGAAAGTTCAATTCAGCTTGACTGAAGGTGTGAAAATCGCTTTAGTTGTAGCCAGTCATTATTCAGTGAACCTTGAATTGTAGCTGCAGGAAGGGGGAAAAAACACTTTCCCCCATTAAAAGTAAACAAACAGGGAAAACACTGTCAGTCTCATGCAAATGGAGTGTGCAGAAGGCAAATCTTCTCCTACCTAATCCACTCTGGCCCAAGGCAGCCCTCTGAAAGACAGTTTGGCTCTAATCCTCTGCTCCTCATTCCTCCATCCCTTCATCCTTTACTCATCCATCCATCCATCCACCCATCCATCTCCCCTCTATTACCTTAGCTCTGCTGAGGTTTACCTCTTTTCTGAACTGAGCCAAAGCAAAAAGTCAAGAGTTGATGAATGATCTTTGAAATTTTTTTTAAAGATGGTTGTTCTAAGTGGAGATGAAACACAAAACCCCACTTTTATCCCACTACCTGCAAATATTAGGGAAATGACACAAGCCTAAATGGATAGTATTCCCTCGCATCATCACCTTGCCTAATCTCATCACATCCTGGCACAGTTGGCACAGTTGGTGCATAATGTGTCCACTGAGCTGGATCACAAAAGCTTGTGATTAGTGTATAGTCAAGGCCATTGTGTTTTTATAGCAATCATAAAAGCTGCATTTCCTCCTCATTTTCCTAATGGCTGCCAGTGGGCCTCTATTTCTTTCCAAGGACACATTAGATTGTGATAAGATGAAATGGAGCAGCAGCACTGAAGATGTTGTGATCTCACTCAGATGGCTGAGAGAAGGCGACGTGAGGCACCCCCCTGCTGCTCCACCTGGCATTTATCATTTGTCACACGCAGAGAGGTGACATTTATTCATACTTCCTGCACGAGGATCAAGAAATCAATTTCAGTCCAGTGCACGAGTTGAGTGTGAAATGCAAGTGGCTCAGTTCAGCTGCACATTAGTGCTATTTGAATGTGGTACGGATGCATTCAGGGGAGTTTTGTTTGCCTCCTGATGTGCTGGATGTGTCTCTTCATGTGTAGATGGTGTGGGAGAGCGGCTGCGTCGTCATCGTCATGCTGACCCCGCTGTCAGAGAACGGAGTCAAGCAGTGTCACCACTACTGGCCTGATGAAGGATCAGATGTCTACCACATTTATGAGGTACACCAGGAAGCTTTATCTGGATCCTCTTGATCAGATTTTATCCCAACGTTTGGAGTTTATGTGCAGAAATTATGTAGAAATCTAAACTCCATTCCAACTTTTCTAATATCTTTTCAAAATGTTCTGAGATTCATAAACCTAACCCTAACCCTACAGAGGTGGATTAGGGCCAATGAAAATAAAAAGTGAAGTCCTTAATCTCAGAATTCTAACTTTAATCTCAGAAGTCAACAATCTCAGGTTTAAATTTTTAATCTCAGAAATCGGACGTTAAACTCTTTCATTTCAGAATTCAAACCTTTTTCCTCAGAATGCTTACTTTGATATGAGAATTCTGACTTTTGTCTCATGAATCAAATCTGAAAAAAATTTAAATATTCTGAGATTAATCTCAGAATTCAGATTTAAATCCAAAAATTCTCATTTCTCAGTATTCTAAATTTAATCTCAGAATTCAAATGTTTTTTCACAGAATTTTGAATTTATTCTGAGATATCTGACTTTCGTCTCAGAAGTCACGTTTAATCTAAAAATTCTAGTTTTAATCTCAGCATTCTGACTTTGATCTCAGTTTTAATCTCAGCATTCTGACTTTGATCTCAGTATTCTCACTTTTTCTTAGAATTTTTACTCTGATCTGAGAATTTCGATTTTCTCAAGTCAAAGTCAGAATTCTTAAACTGTCATAATTCTGATATTAATCTCAGAATTCTAACTTTAATCTCAGAATTCAGACTTTAGAAAGTTAGAATTCTAATGTATTTTTTCTCAGAATTTTGACTTTAATCTAAAGTCAAAAGTCATAAATGTAAGTAAAAAATAAAAGATCTATTTTTTTTCTTCTGTGGTTCTTATCCTCTTCTGTCCATAATCTAAAATGCAAACTACACCAGAACCTGTTTGGACTTTTGTTCAATTAAATGGGGTGATTGTGAACAGCTTGGTGTGGTAAAAAAAAAAAAAAAAAAAAGATTTTGTGAAACTTCTGGGTGATTTAGAGAAAATTTTTGCAAAGACTGTTTTGAGATGCAACGTTATTCACTGATGAGGCCTGTTTTTATTAGCATCATTTCTCCCAGGAAATCAAAAACATGCAGGGGAAAATTGCATATTCACTCTTAAATTTCAAAGAAACTGGAATATTTTAAATACTTAAACTGCTCATTGATGATTTTTAATGAAAACTCTAGTTTAATAGATTTTTATTTTACTTCATGTTTTAAAAAGGTGGAAAACTCCAAAACGATAGCTTAAACTAAAGTTTATTCGTCTTTGTTCAGTGCTGAAGCACATGCACATTCAAAGTGAACAAACAATTCTCCCATTCTTTGGTATCTAATGTAGTTACGTCTCATTTCATCACAAAATGACTCTAATTTAGAAGCAGAAAGCACACAAACTGTTACAGTGCAGCAGGACGTCTCTAATTATGCACCATTTCTTCCAAAAGCAAATAGAAATCCCTGAAACAGTTGGAAAAACCCACGGATGAATCCCAACAAAATAACTTTGTTTTTGTCGTTACAGTGAGTCGACTTTATTTGGATTCATTTGCAGTTTTTATCTTATTTTTATTTTGTTTGTAATGTTTAGGTCAATTTGGTGTCCGAGCACATCTGGTGTGAGGACTTCCTGGTGCGGAGCTTCTACCTGAAGAACCTGCAGACCAACGAGACCCGCACGGTTACGCAGTTCCACTTCTTGTCCTGGATGGACCGCGGGATCCCCGGCTCGGCCAGAACTCTGTTAGACTTCCGCAGGTAGAGAAGAGTCTCCTCAGACTCCTCCATGTGGCTGATTCCAGACAAATTTCCACCTTTACAGCTGACCTTATACGCCACGCTTGTTCTTAATCACCTCCCCTTATATTCTGCCCACCCCCACCCCTCTCTTTTTGGTGAATGGTTGATCTAATAAGGACTCCATGTCTGCAACCATCCCTTTCATCCCGGGCCGCCAAACCCCCCCCCCCCCCCCCCCCCACCCCACCCACCCCCACCCCCAGTACATGTGATGCAGCAAATTAACAGCCCCGCACTGCCCTGGCTTGGCTCGGGAAGAAACAAAATAAATAATAAAACACCTAATTCAAAGAGCCAATTAAATGAGAGCTGTCTCACCAAAAAACACTGAAACGAGAGGAAGGGATGGGGGGGGGGGGGGGGGAGTAGTGACTGAATAACCTCACTCTGTTCTTCGTGTGATGTGTTCTGGCAGAGAAGCAGCCGTTCTCCTCTGAGATAACCCAGGAGGGGAAAGGAGAAGCCCTCCAAATGAGAATAGGTGGTTTCTAATGCAGATGAGAGATTTTTACTCTGGTGTTTTTTTTTAAGCCAAGCTGAGTGTAGCTCACTCACGTATTCATTTATCCTGGCTGTGTGTGTGGGTTTTGTTGCAGCTACTTGTTAAGGTTATTTGGTCTCTGAAGGTCTCAGATGCTCAAGGTGCTCTCTAACAGGTTTGTGGTTTTGGCCAAGTTGGTATTTTGCGGTTGCCAGTGTCATTTTTGTGATGTTGCAGCTAGTAATATGAGCCCAGTTGCATAGTCACAAAAGTGATCATTGGAAACTGTGTCTCCTCAGCCAGGCCTGGGCACACACCATCTCTCTCTCTCTCTCCCTCTCTCTCTCTCTCTCTCTCTCTCTCTCTCTCTCACTCTCTCTCTCTCTCTCTCTCTCTCTCACACACACACTGTTTCTTTCCCTCTCGTCTTCTCTGCTCCTTCCTCTGACTTGCATGGGAACCCTTTCTGTACATTGTCTGATGGAGACCGGGCTTTGACTTTACTCATTTTTAATGAAAATCATCAATAAAAGTGTAAGAATTTACATTGCAGCCAATGAAATTTGAATCAGAGTCATAAAAACCAGAAATTCTAACTTAAAAGTTAAATAAATGATCTAAACTTGGACAAAATGTGTACATTTTGTAATATAAACTGTGTAAGAAGAAGAAATAAAAAGAAATGTTGATACGCTTAACAGTGGCTCATTAGAGTTGCCATAGTAACCACAAACTTGACTCTGGGTTAGCAGTTTAAGAGGCAGACAGGAAAGCAGACTGTTAAACTGTTGCTTTATGAAAACTAAATGTTGTGTTTTAAAAAAATTTCTTGAACTGTGGGAAGAAGAAACCTCTGATGGTCACACGTGTGAATTTTCATGTCTCTGCTGTGTTTTGTGTAAGAGATATGACAAGTTAAAAAGAACCTTCACATCCAGTTTTGGCAGAATCTTTTGTGCTAGAACAGACGTGGAAGTTTGAGTGAGCGGGCTCTCTTTGTTCTCAGAGTATTTGAGAGAAAACCTCAAGTCCTACAACAGTGAGACCCATGGCGAGTGAAAGAGGAGAAAAAATCCTACGTTTTGATGTGTGATTTGTGTGTGGACCGAAGATGTTAACGCGGCATCATCAACTGTCATCTCCAAAAATCGTAAAAATGTTATTTTGACTGCATAAAAACAGAAACCACAGATTTTTCTGTGGTTTATTTAAACTCTGAATATTGTGACGTCGACCTGAGCTGTAGATCTCCAAAGGGGGCGGGGCTTTCTTACCTCCATCCATCCATCCATCCATTTTCATCCGCTTATCCGGAGTCTGGTCGCAGGGGCAGTAGCCCAAGGCGAGAGGCCCAGACTTCCCTCTCCCCAGCCACTTGTGCCAGCTCCTCCGGGGGAATCCCAAGGCGTTCCCTGGCCAGGTGAGAGACATAGTCCCTCCACCGTGTCCTGGGTCTACCTTTAGGTTTCTTCCCGATTGGACATACCCGGAAAACCTCACAAGGGAGGCGTCCAGGAGCCACCTCAACTGGCTCCTCTCAATGTGGAAGAGCAGCGGGTCTACTCTGAGCCCCTCCCAAATGACCGAGCTTCTCACCCTATCTCTAAGGGAGAGCCCAGCCACTCTTCAGAGAAAACTTATTTCGGCCGCTTGTATCCGTGATCTCATTTTTTCGGTCACTACCCAAAGCTCATGACCATAGGTGAGGGTAGGAACGTAGATCAACCGGTAAATCGAGAGCTTCGCCTTCTCACTCAGCTCTCTCTTCACCACGGCAGACCGGTACAACGCCCACATCACTGCAGATGCAGCACCAATCCACCTATCGATCTCACGCTCCAGTTTTCCCTCACTCGTGAACAAGACCCCGAGATACTTAAACTCCTCCACTTGGGGCAGGACCTCATCCCTGACCCGGAGAAGGTATTCTACCCTTTTCCGACTCAAGGCCATGGTCTCAGATTTAGAGGAGCTGATTCTCATCCCAGCTGCTTCACACTCGGCTGCGAACCGCTCCAGCGAAAGCTGAAGATCACGTTCTGATGAAGCCAACAGGACCACATCATCTGCAAAAAGCAGAGACCTGATCCTCAGGCCACCAAAACGAATGCCCTCTACACCTTGGCTGCGCCTAGAAATCCTGTCCATAAAGGTTATGAACAGAATCTGTGACAAAGGGCAGCCTTGGTGGAGTCCCAACGCTCACTGGGAACGAGCCCGACTTACTGCCGGCAATGCGGACCAAGCTCTGACACCGGTCATACAGGGACCTAACAGCCCGTATCAGAGGGCCTGGTACCCTACACTCCCGGAGTACCCCACACACACACACACACACACACACACACACACACACACACACACACACACACACACACACACACACACACACACACACACAGGGCCCCCACAGGGCCCCCCGAGGGACGCGGTCAAACGCCTTCCCCAAATCCACAAAACACATGTAGACTGGTTGGGCAAATTCCCGCACACCCTCCAGGATCCCCCTAAGGGTATAGAGCTGGTCCAGTGTTCCACGGCCAGGACGAAAACCACTTTGCTCCTCCTGAATCTGAGGTTCAACAATTTGACGGACCCTCCTCTCCAGAACCCCTGAATAGACTTTACCAGGAAGGCTCAGGAGTGTGATCCCCCTGTAGTTGGAACACACCCTGTGGTCCCCCTTTTTAAATAAGGGGACCACCACCCCGGTCTGCCAGTCCAGTGGGACTGCCCCCGATGTCCACGCGATATTGCAGAGGTATTGTCAGCCAACACAGCCCCAGGCTTTCTTACCTGTTTTGGTGAAGTCCCGGTTCTGTTTACATAGAAATTTCTCAACATTTTTGACTAAATTTCTCTAGAAAAGATGGCGCACTGCTACTGAAACCCCATTCAATCCTTGAATGAATAATACATCTTGATGCATAATTCACGTTTATTTTTTATATTTTCCAAAGCTGCACTGTAAAAAAGATTTGCAAACAGGAAAGTAATAACTTAATTTATTCAGTTAAATGCATGGGCACTCCTAAATAATTTAAAATTATATAAATATCTATATTCTTTTCTTCTTTAACATTTGGATGTATTTTAAAAAGCTTTTTAATATCATCTTTAAATAAAAATGCAATTAAAAAACTGCTATATATATAAAATGATCAATGTAAAAGAAGACAAAGTGTCAGAATAATGAAAATGTTTGCTTTTTTAACAAAGGGTGAAAAATGCAGGGAAATAGAAAGGAGCTGAAGGAAGCTCTTAGTGGAGTCAGTTTCCATGGCAACAGTAGGGTGTGAAAAGGCTCGTTGGCCTTCACCGCACCCGTGGTGTAAAACATTCATAATTGGCCGGGGTTAATGCGTCGGCAGTCTGCAATCACAACATCTCACCACCAGCACCACGTCCATCACACGTCACTGAGATCCGACCGTCGCCGAAATGACACCGGGTTTATTTACGGGTTTCTCTTCCCTTCTCCTTTTCTGTCTGTGCTGGAAGTGACATGGCTGAGTGACAAGAGGGAGCCTCTCTCATGTCCGTTGCTTTGATCATCAGTAGTTTCACCCAGAGTCCGCGGAGCAGAAGTCACTGTTCTCATTCAGCCACTCCTGTCCTCATTCTGAAGCCTTGCACCACAGCGTTCTGTGACGTAACGGCAGCTTTTCTCTCTGTTTTGTTGCAGAAAGGTTAACAAGTGCTACCGGGGTCGATCTTGCCCAATAATTGTTCACTGCAGGCAAGTATAACCGAACTATTTGTCCATTTATTTGTTTGCTTGTTTGTTTGTTTGTTTATTTATTTTTTGTTGAAACTGCTGTCTGCTCTAATTAGACCCTCCCATTTGGATGAGTCAGTTAGCTCCTGATTGGTTGGTCCTAAACACCAGGTAGCAGTCCCATCAGCCCGCTCTCCCTCTCAGGAGCGTAGGCGTACGTAGAAATGGATTAATGAAGCTGTGGCACTCGGGCAGCTCTCCTGCATTCTTGGCCCTGCCTTTATTAGAGAGATGTCCACGCCTTGTTTGCAATTAACATGCAGAGCCGCTGAATGGCCGGCGGGCACAAAGGGAAGCTTTTCACGGGGCTATCTCTGGAGTAATGGAAAAGCAAGGCTCTCCAAAAGTGGTTCTCAAACCGCCTCTGGCCTCTCAACCTCTCCTCTGCTCCTGAGGTGCATGCATTTAAAAGCTTTTGTCCCCGCCGTGCCTCAGAAACAGTTCCCCTCCTTCAACAGCCGCTCTCAAGACCACACATGCTTGTGTGTGCAAAGGTTTAATGTAATCACATTTATTGGAAATATTCACCTCCAAATGTATTGATTGTAGCTGTTTTTCTTTAATTATTTCATAAAATATCATGTTTTATGCAAATGATTAGCATGGCGTCTCCCCAGCAGAGGCCGAATTTAAATGAGCAGTTTGTTCAGTTATGAAGATAAAAGCTCACGCCACCACCTTAACGATGCGTGTTTGTCTCTGACTCTCTGCAGCGACGGAGCTGGCAGAACCGGGACCTACATTCTGATTGACATGGTCCTCAATAGGATGGCTAAAGGTAACGATCAATGGCTTTCCCCCCTTTCACTCCGTCTCTGTGTGAAGTGTTGCCCCAGCAACGGGAAAGCCTCTCTCTTTTTTTCCGCCGAGGGTCTTGGGATGCATTAGAGGGTGACTTCTCTGAGGCCTGGAGAGGCAGACGGTGGAGGGAGCTGCTGGGAGAACAAAGAGGAAACACGGGGAAGGGAAATGAAAAAGAAAACCTCCACCCACATAAATAATTATCTATTTAAGCAACCTTCACACCGTATTGACCTGCATCAGCAGCTGCCGCATGCATTTAGATAGCACATGCATGGAAATGAAATGTTTAAAGAGAAAACACATTAAAACATTTGCTATTTGCTCCAGTGGTTCAAAATCAATATTTAATACTTAGTGGAAATGTTGTGCTTATGTGATTTTTACATTGATTTTGAGTTCTGCACCAATATTCAACTAACTGAACATTGTCATGCCAAACTCTCCAAGGTGTGTTTCTACTTTAATGTCTGCAAGCTGCTCTGCACAAGAACAGCTCACAGGATGCATACGTATGTAGAGAATTTAAAAAATGGATGAGTCTCTGCTCTGATAAAACAGAGTGGAAGCGTGAGAAATAACCAGCTCCAGAGCTGTGCCCTTTGACCTCTGCCCTTTACCCCTCCCTCTCTGTGTGTTAGAGCGAGCTGCATGTCCTGTTTGTGGTCAAGCTGACCCGTCGGGTGACGAATGCTGCGATGAAAGCTGCTCATCTGCTTCCTTTTTAATCTTTTGTTTCCTGCAGCTGGAATCAAATGCATGAAAGGTACATGAGCTAGCTCTCTCCGTTGGTCAGAGAGCCTCTTCTGAGCTTAACGTTGCATTCCAGCTCATCTTAGACATGAAAGTCTCGTTGGAGAGCTGGAGTACCTTCTAGTGCATTCACCCTCCCGCTGCCTCACTTTCAGACTCATCTTAAGACTTTAGGGGCACTCTCTGCATTTCTCTGTCTTATTTCCAAACAAGCACAGGCTGCCGTGCAACCCGTGGATCTGGAGTAGCAGGAGATTCTCCAGATTTGCATCCCAGGCTCAAAGGCAGCTGATTACAGTTGAAGCAACTGTTGCACGGGTTAATCATCAAAATGAGAGCAGCGGAGCTGCTGCAAATCACTTTAATTGGTGATTCTCAGATCTGTGCACGATTATGCGCACCCCTCTCTGGTTGCGGACGTCTTTCTAACCGGTTTTTGAACGTGATTCTCACAGAGAACGCTTTTGAATGCAATTCCCAGACACCCTTCCCACAAAACAAATATTTTTGCATATTTTATCAAGAATCAGTCAGCCAGTGGCCCCCGTCCAAGTCTTTCGAGGGATGAATGTAATAATTTTCAATCGGCGTGTTGTTCCGGAGGGAGTGCGGTGTAAAGAGAGATTGACAGATGTGAGCTGGATTACTCCGCTGCTTTGAACTCAGTCCAATTCTGGCTCTGTTGCAGGTGCTAAAGAGATTGATATTGCCGCTACCTTGGAGCACTTGAGAGACCAGAGAGCTGGCATGGTCCAGACAAAGGTAAGGTCCCTCAGCTTTGAGTCAGGAGAGTGGGGGGAGGGATCGTTCAGAGAGATGATTGTTTGCTTCAAGAGTGCAGGATCAGTGGAGCTTGGAAGGAAGTAGGCTCTAATGTTTTCTTATTGAATTCTCGATAAACTAAAGTTTTTTTTTGTGGAGAATCATTTTGATTTTAGTTTTTTCTATATTTATAACATCTTACATGCTGTGGAGATAGCTTCCTGAATGGCCTCAGCTGGGAGAATTAAAGAGCTTAAAGCTAGTTCAAACACAACCAATCTCAACGTGGATTGCTACTCTGATAAAATTAATATGTTATGCAAAAACTCACCTTTTGCATCATTTTGTGCTGCCACCTCTATAAATACTCGAAATAGAAAAAAAAAATCCATCTATTCGTTGTCTATCAGTGTTTGGTTTCAGGAATCGTGTGCCTGAAACTAGTCGTTTTAAAATGGCCCAGTTTGAGATGTCACAAAAAGGGAAATTAGCATAAAATCACCTCTCACTGCAAGAAGGAGATGCTACTGGAGGAGGAGCAGCTCTACTGAAGCCCCTCCCAGGTATTGGCGCTTCTCAGCTTATAGACGTGGGGGGTAAGTGGTGGGGTGGGCGTGGCCAGCTCGTTTTCTTAAAGTGACAGTGACGGCTCATTTTGGAAGGTACTGAAACTGTCATGCATAGAGCTGCTGAAATCGCTTAGAGGGATTTCGTGCATAAAATTTCATGAATATTTTTTTAGATCAACCAAAAAATTATTTTAATGTAAGGAAAAAAAATGACTTTAATATGTTCCTTGTAAAACAGCCAGTATTTTTTATTTATCAGTTCTTCAATTTTTGCTGAAAGATAACAAATTTCCTGCCAGGCTTGACCGCTGAGTGCAACTGAAGTGCTATATTTGTCACTGCTGGTGATATTTACACTTGGTTAATGATTATTTGATATAATGTTGCTCAAAATGCTGTGAAAGTTTGGAGAGTGCCGTTTTTTAAGAGGGCAGCAAAACACTTTGATCTTAGCAGAGCTTTGACTAGCTGTTAGCCCATCAGTCATGGCGAATCTTTATTTCTCCTTACAGAGTTGTTCAGGAAGCAAGTAAGATGGTGCCTATTTACAATTTTTACTCAAACACATTAAAAAAAAGCTGAGAAACTCTTTAAAGTTGCAAAGATAAAACAGTTCAGCTAATTAAATCAATTAGCTTTTATGTACTTGTAAATATTTCCTTTAGAGTATTCAGCTTTACTGTCACTTCCCATCATTCCAGAGGACACGTACCGCTGCTTCCCTCTTGTTCTCGATGCAAATAAAAGCTACGTTCCTCCAGTTCCTCACTTTCAATTTGAAATGACAATAATAAAAATAATAAAGGCGAGCCCTGTGCTGCAGAGGGTGATCATATTTATGGGCGCTGCTTGCTAACAGACTTCTTGATGGTTCATTAAAGCCACTTTCACAGCCGTGGTTCGGTTCAGCAGAGAAAAGCTTTTCAAGTACTCCCTTTTTTCTTCTCTGACTCGTCTAAGTGAAACAACTCTGGAATACCGTTGATTCCACTTTGTGGATTCATGCAGGCTCCACTCAGAAATAGTAATGAGGGATGAAATGAAGAGTTAACTGTCACAGATTGGACAACATTTTTTTCTCATTTTAATGCTGTTTCCATTTTATTTTTGTACAATAAACATTAAATTCTGGTTGGTGCCTTTTCACAGACATGAATAAGTGGTAATTACAGCACGTGTGAGCGTTTTTTCTTCCTGACTAACATCCTTTTCTGATCTGTCGAGCAGAGATTGATCTCCCCCCGGTGGTTTAAATGTGAACAGCTCCTTTTAGCTCGAACCGCAGACAGATTATCACCTAAATCTGGGGTTGGAGATAAAAACGTGCATTTATTTTTTAGCCCATCACAGCTTCAGAAGACATAGAAATAGGAACTCCATAATCTGCTGCTGCATCGTGAAGCCAGTGACTCCTCTGTATTGATTTAGCCTGTCCTCGGGCCAAACCGTGGCTGGCTGAATGTTGACACATCTGAAGACAGCTCCCTCCAAACTCCTACCTGCTCTGTCTCTGTAAGAGGACCCTGTGGCCTGCAGCCTGGGGAGAGGAGAGGAATATAAAAGCACCGGGTCCGCAGGGCAGACATCAATCAGCTCCTCTGGGAAAACTATGAGCTGGTTTCACAATCAAACACACTAAAAAAAAAGAGACGGTTTGACTCAGAAGCTCCATTTTGAGGCACACCTGGCTGGATCGATGGCAGCAGCGGTGGTGCGTGCGCTTCAGGTTGAAAGCTCAGAGAATGATTCGGCTCCAGTCTGTGGCCAGGTTCAGGCGGGGTTGGGAGATAGGGAGGAAGAGGAGGAGGAGGAGGTGGCGGCTGCTGCCTATCACTCTGAAATGGCATTCAGCGCACCTGGACACACACTAACACTTTGTCTTTCTCTGCATCCCTTCCTCCCCCTCCCCTCCTCCTCCCCAGGAGCAGTTTGAGTTTGCTCTGACAGCCGTGGCAGAGGAGGTGAACGCCATCCTCAAAGCGCTTCCTCAGTAAAGACGCCACACCTGATCTTCTTCTTCCTCCTGCTTAACGAGCACCAGCTCAACAGTGCCCTTCATCCATAATCTCTGAATGTGGTGCCGGGTGTCCCTCCTGGATCTGTATTCGCTCGTTTCAGAGTGTGAATGTTGATCTGGTGTTAGTATGTCCAAAAAACAAAAAAAAATGTTAACAATCCTACTGTTGGGTCTCTATACAATGATGCTGTTCCTGAACGTTCTCTTTGAGACGTTTACGAGTTCGGATTTATGTCACAAAATGGGCCGTTACCTGTTGAACTGATACAAAACTAACAAGTTATGGTCTCAACTAGTGGTTTTGTGTGTGAAATCTTTTTTTAAAGATGTTAAACAGTGATTACAGATCCTCAAAGGTTGTGGTAGTTTGTTGATTATTAAATGCACCAACTAGTTTTTGTCAGATGCTTCTGAATTTTGTAAAGATTGTTCCTGTTGACAATCTTTACTTTGTTTTTTGTTCTAAATTGTGGCTAAATTGTATATTTGAGTGTGTTTTATATTCACTTTTTTGTTTGTCACTAGAAAACTAAAATTAATATCATCCTGATAACTGAACCAAGGTATTTATTTATCCCTAAAAGGAAACAAATGAAGATATAATAAATTGTCACATAAAAATTCCATTTATTCTTTTATGAACCAGAATATATAATAATTAGTCTTTTTCTTTTATGCTTTTTGACTTAAAATTTAAAGTAACCTAAAAAACAGTTATCCTACAAAACCTACGTTAAAAAGTGTTCTTTGAATATAAAAGAAAATTCAGATTAACTCCGGGATGTGTTTGATTGTTCCGTCATTTATTTATTTAATTGTAATTTCATGAATTAAAGCAGTGGTCTGGAGTTTTCCCCCTCTCAGGAATGATGTGTGACTTTTTTTTTAAATCTGTTAAAGTATTAGTCTTAGCCGGTGCTGTGATAAAATGTAGAATATACGTCGATTTCTTTGCTGTTCCATAGAACCCCATGCAGTTTGAACTGAGCGTCGCTCAACATTAGCATTAGCATCAACATCTGTTTATGTACAGATGCCAATCACAGAGCGTTAGCATGTTTGCAAAAGTACATAAATTGATGCAGAGTTGGTGACATTTATTATGGACAAGTAAGTATAACTATTGTAAAACGGTGTGTTTTAACTCTGTTGGCTGGCTAGAGGCATTGCTTCCGTTCGTAATCACGGAAGCAGAGAGAGGGGCTCATGGTACAGTACATTTTGTCTGCCTCTAGATGGTGCCATCTGAGAAAAAACTCCAGATTTCTGCTTTAAGCTGAAAGATAACTAATAAACTATTTGGTTACTTCATATTTGTCGTCTAAATGCTAATTGTTAGCCTGTTAGATTAGCAGCTGTTGCTAAAAAGCATGTTAACCTAAAGTTAGCAGCAGACGTGTCGCCACTACAATACTGTTTAGTCAACAATTTTACCTTTTGCTTTTATTATCTTATTTCACAAGCTTTAAACATTAAAACATCTCTGAACTCTGGTGCATTCACAAAAACTGGATTTTTCAGTGCTGGTCATCCAATCTGCTCGCCGCCCAACCAACCGCTGCATCTTCATTTCACATTTTTAGATACTCAAAGATAATTACAGCAAAAAAAATGGTGCAAATAAGTTGAGACTGCTGTAAATGACGTTACTGTACAGATTCCTTCCTCCAGATGAAGTGATGTGCTGCATCCTCCCTGTTCCTCCTGCTCTGTGATCCAAATCAGCTAATATATGCTCAGCATCACATGTTCAGATGTTGAAGTGAGTGTGTGTTGTTGTACTTTGGGTCTTGAATTACATCACAGATTATCTGACTCTGAAAAAGAAACAAGAAAAAACGATCTCAACATATCAGCTGTTTTGCCTCATTCACTATCAAGATTGGATATATATTTTTGTCTGGTCCACAAACTGATCTGTCAATATTAAATGTGAAATTTACCAACTGACATAGTTATTTAGAAATGCTGTTATACTGTATCAATAGTAATAAGATTATATATATATATATAAAGAACTTCTATTGGGATTGTTGCTAAATTTGTTCATATCTCTATCTCTGGTATATTGTGACATTTTGTGCAACATGACAGATTATTTATTCTATAGACTTTAAATGACTATGAATTCTGATATAGTGCTATTTCAAATACACACTTGAGTGTCTCGGTGGGAGATATATATATATATATATATATATATATATATATATATATATATATATATATATATAGTGTGATTGATAATAAATCTGATCAGCCTTCACCGCTCTGCTGTGTAATTTTATTTCTGATGCACTCACAGACAAGAGGGCCTCCCTTCCACTGCAGGACATTTGATTGAATGTTAGTAAAGTCACACAGAAAATGGTGTCTAGCGCTCCCCGAGGGTTTCCGCTAAAGGAGTCGCTGGTTTGTAGAGATGAAATGTTTGTTGCACTCGCCCTGTCAGCAGAGAAATTGGCTGCGATGTGAAATGAAATCCTCCCTTCACATTCTGAGGTCATGTTACAATGTTACAGCTGTAAGAGTCACGCAGTTGTTGGTCTAGTCCGTATCAGCAGGCGTGTTGATGATTAAGGATCCTTTTTTTTTTTGTTTATTTATTTCATGAATTTGACATTGCGTGTAACTGATTCTGTCACTTTAGAAAACAAAATTACCCCTGAGTGAGTAAAAACCTGTAAATATTAATTCAGGACTCATTTTAGTGTGACAAGTTTTTAGATGTGTAATGACGCTGTACAGACTTAAATGGGACATATTATGTACAACTCACCTTTTGCATCCTCTTGTGCTGTCATGTGGTTCTCTACTTCCTCTATGAGCACTCCAAACATAAAAAAACACTTGTCCATCTGGCTTCTGTCAGTGTTTAGGTTTGCGAATTAAAGGCCTGAAACAAGCTGTTTCTAAAAGTCCCCATTTGTGACATCACAACTGGGGAAATCTGCATAGAACCCTCTCTCACTGGAGGAGAGCCCCTCCCGGATATCGGATGTAGCAGCCTGAGTGGGTGAGGGGTGGGCGTGGCCAGCTCCAGCTTGTTTTCTTAAAGTGAAAGAGCCCTGAAATTGTCAAGTGCTAAAACAGCTTCATGTAAGAGGGATTTAGTAGAAAGAACTTCATAAACGTGTTTTGTATCGAACATAGAACTATTATAACGACAAAAGGTCATGTGTCTCCTTTAATATGAAGGGGTGTGGTGTTAGCTATTCATGCGGAAGCTATCTAGTAGCCTGGCAAGCCATCCTATACGTGTAAAAATAGTCTGGCCACGATCTATTGACAGAAGTCGGTTTTGGTGCAGAATCTACGGACATTCGAGCTTTTTGTACATGCAGTTGGACAGTGCTAGGACCAATCGGAGCAACGAATGTGATGGATTATTTGCTACAGAAACCAGTCAATGGGGAAGTCCACAAACGGAATATGGATAGACCAACCAGCAGAGCAAAATCTTCTGCTACTGCTAGTCTAGATTTTTTGTGCACACACCAATAAGCATCCTTTAAACCAGAAAGTATTTGATGTAAACCAAAACATCCTGTGTTCTAAAGTATTGTGTGCATACGAGAAAACATCTCATGCACAACAAAAAGTATCTGGTGTACACCAGATATATCTGAAGCTGACTAGAAAGTCGGATCTTGCACACACCAGAAAGTATCTTGAGTAAACCAGAAGGGATCCTGTGTACAGAAGTACCTCGTCACACCAGATAGTTTCTCGTGTACAGTCACAAACTGTAAGACTCATCTGAAGAGCACAATAAGACTCCATTACCAGAAAAAACAAAGTGCCGAGAGGCATGTATAGAGAATATATAATTTCCTTCCACTCAACCATGTGTGCGTGGGATTCTTGTTCGAATGCATATTCATGCATCCGTTGACATGTCCCTCCCTCCCCTGACAGTCTTAATAGCTGGGAATGAGGCTTCATGCACTTCCTGAGGTCTCATTTGCATATGATTCACTGATGAGCTGCCAATGCTAACCAGCAACACCAAACCAACATCCTATTAATATTCTCCCATTCAGGTTGTAAAGCACACAAACCTAATCAGCTTAGAAATGACTGTATGGAAACCATAATTACGCGTGTTTAATAGCTTATCCTCTGATGGGTACAGGTTTATTAGAAAATGCATTTGTAGTCATTACTTCCTGAGGAATCGAGTACGCTACAGTGGCAGGTGATATCCTGTCAGCTCCCGTTTGGGAGGATTAATGTGTTCTAAAAAAGTTGCAATATTAGTGGTTCCCCTGTTTTATAGATACTCCGTTTAACTCAAAGTGATTTTTAATTTAGGGTTTGTGAAATTGCTGCTTAGGCTTGGGTGAGTCTGTGGAGAAAGATCTGTCAAAGATCAATGCATCTCACCAAACACAGTGGGGGTGCAGGTTGGGTACATGTCAGGAAATAAAATGTACAAATACAGGGGAGTTTTCACTCAAAGGGGCGGGGCTTCAAATATATATGCAGTGATGCTGCAGGGGAGGAAATGTATTGATGCCTATTATTTGTAACTGACACTCAGGAACTTAAATTTCCAAGTAGGAGAAATCAGCATCAATGCCCCCTTAAGTCCGATCTCCCTCTCGGAAAGTCTAATAACTTTTCTAATTCCAACTTTGAGGTCCAACATGGCAGCTTCTTGTATCCAAAACAGCTGTTGTGTTGGAACAGTTTTATTAAAAGGCACCATGGCTGAGCAGTCAGGACGGATGGGGAGACTGCAAGATGGCCAACGGTGCTGTCCAAAGAGAACTTCTCACTTTCTCAATGCAGACTTTGTTCTCTATTGGTCAGGCCCCTGGCAACCCCAATCAATTACCTGCCCTCCCTATCAGCAAACACCCCTCTGTGTATTCTGCAACCAGCCTCTAGATGAACGAGTTTTGTTCTGACTTTAACTTTTGCGTCGCAAAATAAAACAAGCAAATCAGACATTTCAGAAGGGTTGGGCATCGTTTGAATTTGAACGATTCCGATTCCTCGTTTCTATTCCCGTTCCTATCGATTCCCAATTCTTCATGTCCAAAAACTTTTACAAGTTTTGAATGAGCCAGCTAACCACAGGTCTTACTTCATGAAATCATCTGAACTTTAACATTAATTTTAATTCTATGAACAATAACATCACCTTCATTTGGACAAAAGCAGGTTTTCAAGAAAGAAAGAAAAAGGGCTTGCAGCGCAATCGGTGTCAGATAACAAAAATGTCCAGATGTTCAACTACCACTCTCAGGATGATTTTAAATGTAGCTGCTGTCGGTAGCAATCTTAACAGATTTAAAACTTTCAACAGACTAAATATTTCAAAAAAAGCAAAAAATCATCTCACAACTTTGTGTGTTGTGAAATTTATCATATGATTATTATTATGATCATTTATTTATTATCTGCATCGGCTCCTAGTGTGCAGAACCCGGTGTGGTCCACCACAAAGAAAGGCCGATCTAGTATGATGACTTAAATTATGTTACAGGTTATTTGCTCAGCCTTCTTACAGACGAGTGTTGATAAGTGGCTGCGTTTGACTGTTTGTGTTTGTATTCCCGCAGTGGGCCAAACTCACCAGGCCAGAGGTTGTTCTTGAATAGAATAGAATAGAATAGAATAGAATAGAATAGAATAGAATAGAATAGAATAGAATAGAATAGAATAGAAATTTATTGTCCACTGTGGTGGAAATTTTCTTTCAGCTCTCAAGAACTAAAAAACAATCATGACACTACACCCCAAAAAAAACTTTTTTCTGAAGCACCCAAATGAATTAGTTCTTCAGAGAACCCCTTGATAAATGGTTATTTAAGGAACCCTAAAAGGTTCTGATTTTAAGGTTCCACAGAGAATC